GGTTCCATGTCCACTCGTGTCCAGCATTGAGATGTGGTGGTCAGCATTGAGCTGGGTGTCCTTGCCCATGTCCTCCAGATATGAGGCCACTGAACCACACAGAATGGGCTTCCATGGTCCCTGTGGAACAGCGTGGCAACCCGACTGCCTGGGTTTTCCAGGTCTGATGATGGTGTTCCGGGCTGGTGTCGGCGTTGAGGGCAGGGATCCTGCTCCTGCTCCGTGGCTATCTGGTGCGCAACTTGCTCTGCTGGGCCGTGAGGCTGGAGACTTGCCAGATAGTGCGTGGTGGAAGCCCCAGTGGTCTCAGCCAAGTTGGCTTGAGAGCAGCCAGGGCTCCTGCAGGACCAAGATTGCCCACACGGGGGTCAGGGCTGCTGGCCTGAACCCTGCTCTGGGTGACCTGCTGGCTCCAGGCCCCTCCTCCAGATGCCACATACTCTGGCACCCGCCACCCTCAGTCACATGCCCAAGAGAGTGGAGGAGATAGTGGAGGTTTTCTTGGCAGAAACAGAAAAACGTTAGATGCCGTTGAGATATGTTCTCTAATAAGTGGAAGATGTGCTTTTGTAAAGTCTGGAAAACTTTCTTTCTGGAGTGCAGTGGCTGCTCCCAGCCACCGCAGCTTCGACCTGCTGGGCCCCGACGATCCTTCCGCCTCAGCCTTCCAAGTAGCTGGAACTACAGGCGCGTACTACCACACCTGGCTAATTTTTGATTTATTGTAGGGATGAGGTCCGCCAAGTTGCCCAGGTGGGTCTCGAACCCGTGGGCTCAGGCAATTCACTCACCTCAGCCTCCCAAAGCGCGGGATTACAGGCTAAGCCACTGAGCCTGGCAAGTCTGGAAAACTTTCTAAGGAATAGGGGGAAAAGAAGGAAAACGAGCCGACTGGAGCTGACTGCCTGTGCCCGGCTGCGCCTGTGACACTCCCACCCCTCTGCTGGTTTGAGGGGGGGCTCAGTCGCACCTCCCCCACTCAGTATTGCAGGAACATTTTCCCAAGCAAAATCTTTAACGGGCTCCTGTGGGTCCTTTTCCAGCCCTTAAAGTGGATGACTGTTGTACACCAGGCTGTGGCAGTGGAGGGCTGCTCCACAGCGCTGAGGATACCAGGCCCAGCCGGAGCACCCGCCAGCAGAGGAGGCTTCTGCCACCTTCCGGGCCTGGGTCTGGCCAGTCCAAGGTGTTCGTCCGTGGTCCAGCATCACAGCCTCCAGCGTGGGGAGCAGATGGTGTCCCCAGGGCTATGGAGGCCTGTGCAGCTGCCCAGGGCCCCTGGTTGGACCCAGGCCCTGACTGGCACCAGGCTGAGGCGTTCTCTTCTCCTGTCCTCTCAACACAGGAACCCAAAATGCTGCAATGGTGGCCTAAGAAGGGGTGGCTGCTGTCACACTGTGGGGTCTGCCATTTCTCTCCCTGTATTAGGAGGGCCGTGCTATCCTGCTGACTCTGGGTGTTGGCTTCCTGCTGTTTCTAGGATAAAGAAGAGGAAGTGCAAGCAGAGAGCAGCTGCCCTGTGGCCCAAGATAGGTGGAACTGCAGGGCAGGTTTTACTTCCTTCCTAGATCACTTTTCCAGGGAACACCTGGGTGTGGCAATAGCCCTTGGCCTTGGACTGAGATAACAGGGACTGAGCCTTGATGTGGTGTCCTTGGGTAGCAGGAGATGCTGGCTGCTGCCCCTGCCTGGGGTTCTTTGCAGGTGCGGGCACAGCGGGTCCTAAACATAGAGACGGGATGATGCGAGCATGTGCGGACATGGTGCTGGTGAGAAGGATCCTACTCACAGGGACATAATGACTAGAACAGCTTTTAAAGTTTTAAAGCAGTACCTTTTTTGAAGAAAACTTTACTGACACTTGTAAAAGAAGGCAGGGATAGGGCAACCCCTTTGGGTCTCTTTCCACTGTGGGAGCTTCTTTGTCCTCTCAATAGATCCTACTTTCTCAAAAAAAAATGCAGGAATGAATGAATGGCGAGGTGTCACTCATAGGTTTAAGCTGTGGGGTGCCGTGGCTCCCACCTATAATCCTAACACTTTGGGAAGCTGAGGTGGAAGGATCACTTGAGCCCAGGAGTTCGAGACCAGCCTGGGCAACATAATGAGACTCCATCTCTGTTTTTAAAAACTCAAAAACTTAGCTGGGTATGGTGGTGTGCGTCTGTAGTTCCAACTACTCAGGAGGCTGAGGAGAGAGGATCACCTGAGTCCAGGAGGTTGAGGCTGCAGTGAGCCATGATTGTACCACTGTACTCCAGCGTGGGTGACAGAGTGAGACCTTGACTTAAATAAAAAAGGTGCCGGACTCAGTGGCTCAGCCTGTAATCCCACGCCTTTGGGAGGCTGAGGTGAGTAGATTGCCTGAGCCCGCAGGTTCGAGACCCACCTGGGCAGCGAGACCTCATCTCTACAATAAATCAAAAAATCAGCCAGGCATGGTAGCGCATGCCTGTAATTCCAGCTACTTGGAAGGCTGAGACGGAAGGATCATCGGAGCCCAGCAGGTCGAGGCTACGGTGGCCGGGAGCAGCCACTGCACTCCAGTCTGGGCGACAGAGTGAGACTTCAACTCAAATGAAAAGGTTTAAGCTCAATAACATTTAAGCCCAGGGATATAAGACAAGTGGTGACGCTTGGCAGGGAAGCTGGGCTGGGCATGAGTGTGGAGCCTTGCATTGTGCCCTGCGTTCCACACTCGAAAACAGACCACAGGAGAGTGGGGTTCAGCCAGGAAGGGGGCGGGGGCAGCTGTGGGTCAGCAAGAGGAAGAATGCAGGACCAGCTGTGCAAGCCTGGCCTGTGAACACGTTTCGACCTCGCAAGGGAAATGCTCCCACAGAGCAAGATTAAAAGTGAGTCTCAGCCGGGCTCGGTGGCTCAGCCTGTAATCCCGTGCCTTTGGGAGGTTGGGGTGAGTGGATTGCCTGAGCCCGCGGGTTCGAGACCCGCCTGGGCAGGCGAGACCTCATCTGTACAATAAATCAAAAAATTAGCTGGGCATGGTAGCGCGTGCCTGTAATTTCGGCTACTCAGAAAGCTGAGGCGGAAGGATCACCGGAGCCCAGCAGGTCGAGGCTGCGGTGGCCGGGAGTGGCCATTGCACTGCAGTCTGGGCGACAGAGTGAGACTCCAACTCAAAAAAAAAAAGTGAGTCTCCTGGAAACACAGTACAGTGAATGACTTGGGTCCTGCTTATATAGAGAGCTTGCCAGAAAGTCAGCACAGAACAAGAACAGACAGCTTCAGAGATTCAGGTGGCCAAGTGGCAGAAACACACAGTGAGAAGTTCACCAGAGGTGGTGACCCACACTTATGTCCCTGCTACACGGGGAGCCAAGGCGGGAGGATCACTTGAGCCCAGAGGGGTCAAGGCTATAGTAAGCTGTGAACACACCACTACACTCCAGCCTGGGCGACAGAGCCAGACCCTGTCTCTAAACAGTAAATATATAACCAATAGAATCCATTTTCTGTTTATACAATCACCAGGATTTGGGGTTTGTGTGTTTTTGTTTGGGTAGCGCTTGTAAGGTTTTTAGGTAACAGTATGGGAGCCCCTGGGGAAGGCAAGGTGGACTGGACATCTCACACTGCTGGGGAACTGACTTTACTCTCAGGGAAAATACTGGCTAGCTTACCAGGAACTTACAAATCCTCTCTCTTTTGACCCACTAATTCCATTTCTTAGGAATTTGCCCTAGAAAAGAACTAATGTCCACACAAACTTATATATAAAGGATTATTTTAATGTTGTTTGTGCTTTAAAAGTTAGACACAACTAGCAGTGTGGCAGCATTCGGGTTGTATAACAGGCAACAGCGAAGGACTACCGGCGGAAGACCTCAGCTTAGCGTATGATGACACCACACAGGTCCCTGTGTGCTTGGAGCGTGTATGCACTTGGGGCCATGCATCCAGGAAGTCGTAGCGGCCTGAGGGCTACTGGGGACGCACACGCTGGGTCCTGCAGGACGGGGAGCCAGGGGCTTTATTTTCTTATTTGTACTTTGGTGTATTTTCCAGAATGTTTACATGAACTTAAATGATTTTTAACTACTGAAAACAAATTTACAGGATCAACAAGCATCTTCATGTTAGGTAGGCTTTTTTATTTCCCATTTTCCTCTGGCTGTGATTAAAATTAAGCAACTCGGCCATTCGTGCTGGGCCATGGGTTGAGCAGCTTCTGTGTGGGCGTATTTGGATTTAGAGCATTTCTGAAGCAGGAGCATCTCCAAGGTGCCCCAGGCAGCGCCATGGGGCCCTGGCTGCCCTACTCACCCCGTGACAGCTTTTCCTGAATGTCCCTTCCCTTTGGTATCACTGCTTGAGGGGTTGAGGAGGTCTGGCTTCTCTGGACAGACTCCACTGTGGCCGGTCGTGTCAACCTACCACAGGGCCTGCTGCACCATCAGGGCCAGTCTCATGTGCACATTCGCCCTGCACTTGTGCAGGTTTCTCTGAGGGTGGGAGCAGGACCCTCCTGCCACCTGCTGTCCGGCCTGCCACCCTCCTTCTGGCAGGTCTCAGGCTGCAGTGAAGCCAGCCTCTGCAAACACACGCAGAGGACTAAGAAAATGTTGAAGACTTGGCTTTGTTAATTCACAAACTTTTTATTGCATTTGAAAGCAAAAGTAATCTCATTTATTTAATTTCATTCACATTTATTATGCACGTACTGTATGCCAGCATGAGAGACAGATTATCAGGCAAAGTGAACTCCACCCCCCAGACAGCATGACGGGAAGATGGGAGGGAGTCAGCAGCGTCCCAGGAGGATGACTGCTGCCTGGGCGAGGAGCATCGGGGGCCCTTGAGGAGGCTGTCCACAGTGCCAGCTCTGCCCGGCTCTCTGGCTGTCTGGTGTGGTGGTGGGTTTGTGGGTGGAACTAAGCCCCTCCGGCTCCCTCTGGGCCTGCGTTCTCCAGGCCTTCTCAGACACGCCAGATGCTGTGGCAGCATGGAAGACGTGGGTGCTAGTGTTTTTTTGATTGCAGCCGCCAGGCCGAGCCACCCAAGAAGGAGGCCGCGTCCACAGGGCCGCAAGTGAAGCGTGCTGACGAGTGGAAGGACCCGTGGCGCCGGTCCAAGTCGCCCAAGAAGAAACTCGGGGTGTCGGTGTCCCCTAGCCGGGCACGAAGGCGTCGGAAAACATCAGCCTCGTCAGCCTCTGCTTCCAATTCTTCCAGGTAGCCACCTCGCACAGAGGGGCGCGTGGCATGTGCCCAGGAATCTGGGCAGCTTGGCATCCCACTGACTTGGCCCATGCTGGGGCCACTCATGGGCAGGCTGGGGCTCTCCGCCAGACTGTTCTGCTGCGAATCCTTGCCTGGGGAAGAGTCGGGAGGACTCAGAGGTCCCTGTGTATTCAGCTGGGAGCGTCCACATGGCAGAGCTGGGCTCAGGCTCTTTCAGGCTCCGCCTGCTCCCAAACAGACAGGGCCAGCCAAGATGGCCTGGGCAAGCCACCAGCCACTGTGCCTGGCAACTCCTGGGGTCTACAGCCACGCTGGCAAGGTGCAGGCCATGACAGCCAGGCTTCACTCCCTGGGGGCTCAGCAGGCATGCAGGTGTCCGTGGGAGGTCAAGCTTCACAGGATGCAGATGGACAGGTGCACAGGAGCCCACACATGCATGCAGGGGTCAACACACACACCTGGCTCTGTCCACTCAGGCAGGGCTGCCTGTGGCAGTGGTGGGTGGCCCAGCACTTGAGCCTTGGTTTCTTTTTTTTTTTTAACTCCACCCTCCTCTCAAGCCTTGGTTTCTAAACACTATTCTCGACAGAGGGCTTGAACTGCAGTGTGTCTGTGAGTGTGGTCTGCATCTGTGTATGAGTCTGTACATCTCTGAGTATACCTGTGTGTCTAAGTGGGCCCAAGAGTGTGCCTGTGTGTGGAGACCATGCCCTCCACGTCTGCCCTGAGGAGGTGCAAGCCTGGCATGGCCATGTGGCCATCCACCCACTCACTCCCTCCCTGCTGCTGCCCAGGTCGTCCTCACAGTCCTCGTCCTACTCTGGCTCTGGCTCATCCCGTTCCCGGTCCCGGTCCTCATCCTACAGCTCCTACTCCAGCCGGTCTTCCAGACACAGCTCCTTCTCAGGCAGCCAATCCAGGTATGGCCCAGGGCCTGGGGGCAGGTGTGGGCGCCTCGTGTGCAGCTGAGTGGTGGCCAGCCTGTTGGCGGCGGCAGGTTTGTTTTGAAGGCTGTTCTTGGGGCTGTTTAGAAAAGTCTCGAGAAGCTGCATGTGTGAGGGTGAATTCTGAAGATTGCACATAGTGAGATGTCACATACTGTCAACCACGTGGAATACACACTTCATACATGGTCAGAAGTGGGGCCTGCGTGGCATGTGCTGACATCAGGCAAGGGCAGCACCAGCTCCAGCCACGTCCTTGGGGACCACACCACATACTGCGACCACAGGGTGAAGGACGCAAGTCACACTGAGTGTTTAGTGACCATGTGCCACTGGTGGCTGCCATGTCAAACAGCACAGTGGTAGGACGTTCCATCATCACAGAAAGTTCCAGAGGTTTCAGAAAGTTCCAGAGGTTACTTCCCCCCCATTGAAAAGACACTTTGTTTAGAATTTTAGACAATGCTTAGTTGTCATTTGGGCAGGAAAAATAATCATTGGTTAATGTAATTGAGTAGGAAATTCTACCAACACGCACAGAACACCATGCCCACCTCTCCTGCCATAGGACCCTTGCCAGTGTGGCCCCCCTGCCACTCTACCAGTGCGGGGATGCCCCTTGCTCGCTGCTCCTTTTCTCCTGTCGGGAGAGGAGTCTGCGCCAGAGGCAGGCTAGTGGGGGCCACATGCAGACCTGCCCTCAGCTTCTCCCGCCTGGACTCTACACCCCGCTGTCCCCATAGGCTCTGCTGGGCTGGCGGCAGCACAGTGTTCCAGGGAGGCAGGGCGGGTAGAAGCGTCTTCATCTCCGCTGCTGGGCAGAGGACCACACACAGCCCTCTGTGCCCACAGCTTCTGCAGCGGTACCCCAGATGCTGTTGTGGATAAAGCTGACCCCAGGCCACTTCTCCCACCCTGGGGCCCCTTCTGGCAGGCACCGTGGTCTCAGGGCGCAGTGGGAGAGGGCCAGAGAACGGCAGTGGGACTGTGCTGCCGTCCCTGCCACTGAGGAGATCCTGTCCCCTCCCTTCCTGCACACCGGGTGCCGTGGCCTCCCTGGAGTCTTCCCCAGGGCCCGCTGGTAGGCACCAATGGCTCTTAAGCACTCTGTTCAACTCCCATCTTGTGTGTTTAGCAAATGCCAGAACAGTCTGGAACTGGCTTTAAATCCAGGGCAGATCTGGTGGTGTGTTCCGGATGTGAGGCGGGTCCTTGTGGTTGTGGGCCAGCTAGCCGGGGAAGGACCTGCTCAGCCGGGACCTCTCACACTGCTCTTCCCTCTCCAGGTCCCGGTCCTTCTCCTCGTCCCCGTCCCCATCCCCGACACCTTCTCCACACAGACCTTCCATCAGAACCAAGGGGGAGCCGGCCCCGCCGCCTGGGAAGGCTGGGTAAGTCCTGGGGAGCCCCCATGGTGGGCAGGCAGGTATCCGTGACCGGATGGGTCTCCAAAGGCCATTCGCCTCCTCCCTCAGCCACTCATATCAGGAGGCTGGCAGGGGCTGGAAGGCCTCAGGCACAGCTCTGGTCTGACCCGAGGCCTGCTGTGGCACCCTCCTGCAGAACAGGGCCCACGCTTCGCCTCAGGCACCAGGGTCAGTGTCAGACACACCGCTCCCGTCAGCTGCTTGGGGCTGGAAGGCCCTTGGCTATCTCAAACTTGAGGACTTGCACAAGCCCCTCGACTGCCAGCACTTCTTGCTGTTCCCAGAGCTGGACACGTTGTTCCCACTTCACTTCCCACTTCACACCGTGACTAGAGATAGCCCAGAGGGTGGAAGGGTCTACTTCTTGATCTTGGGGAGGCCTCAGGGTCAGTGGCCACCAGACCCACCCTCCTGGTATGCTCTAGGGACAAGGCAGCCTCACACCTTGGTGCTGTTTGGTACAGCCTGCTATGGGCCGGTCTTTGACCTCGTGTCTGTTACTCATGTAGCAGGAAACACCTGGGCTGGAATGGTTACACTCTTTAGGGCTCCATCCTTCACTGACAGGCTCTAAAAGTTTAGAAAGTCTTCTGTGGCTCACTGTGAGAGACAGGTGGCCGTGTAAGGAGCGCATGTGCGTGTGCATGTCCCTGCCGACCGAGGAGCATGTTTGTATGCATGTCCTCACCAGCCTGAGGAGCCCGTGCACAGATCCTTGCTGCGGCTCTACAGCTGGGTCTCGTGGCCTTGGGCATGGGCACCATGGCTCTGAGACTCACCCTCACCGAAGCCCTTTCTGTGTCTCCGGCTGATGTCCTTGTGCTGCCTGTGGCCTCTGCCATGTGGCTCAGTGGCCTGGAGTGGCAGGTCACCAAGAGGGCAGGGGCGTTTCCCAGGCTGGCCCAATGCAGGGCCAGCTTCCTTCCCACAGGCACCTGTGTTCCTGTGAGGGCTGGTGCACAGTGCAGGGCCACCCCAGCGAGTGCAAGGGCCCACACAGGCCTAGGAATGTGCCTTTCCAGTAAGGCATGACTGGCCTGGGTGCACCAAAGGAGCAGACCCGAAGGGGATGCCTGGCCTGGCTCTCTAGGGTCTTCTGATCTTCCTTACTGTCCTATGGCACCGTCAGCTCCTGCCTTCAAGGGGGAGGCAGAGAATGACACTGGGTGGTCTCAAAGACCCTGAGCCCTCCCATAACTCTTGAGTGAGATGCGGTGTCCAGGCGTGAGTGCTGTGAAGCTGGCCACGCCATCCCACGTGGGTGTGTTCAGAGGGGACATCGGCCTATGCCCAGGCCCTTGCCCCTCCCTGCCCGAGCCTTCCTGTCCCACAGAGAGAAGGCTGTGAAGAAACTGGCCCTGCCTCCAGCCACACCCCAAGCCACCAAAGCCACTGTCCCCGCCCCTGAGCCTGCCAAGCCTGGAGACCCTCGGGAGGCCAGAAGGAAGGAGCGGCAGGCCCGGACGCCTCCCAGGAGGTGAGGTGCTGGCCCTCGGTGGCCCTTGGGCACTCTGGTCCCTGGTGCTGCTGCAGCGCAAATGCTGACGACATCCAGAGTGCTAGGCCCAGGGCTACAGGGAAAGGCCAGGGGAAGTGGTGGCCTGCCCTCCTAGAGCATTGTGGAGGGAGGACGCTGGGGTCGTGTGCTAGGCCCCGCATGGGCCTCCCCCCACGCGATGCCTGCCCCAGGGAGGCCGACTGGAGGGAAGAGAGGCCCCGTGCTTGCCCCGAGGGTGCATCCCCAAGGGTTGGCTCTCCTTCTGGGAAAAAGTGCCTCAAAGTAAGTCTCGCGGCAGCAAGTGCCCTGCATAGTGACCTCTCGTGCGGGCTGTGTGGAGCCCGCCCAACCTCGCCCCTTTGTGTTTTACAGACGCACCCTGAGTGGCAGCGGCTCTGGCTCCAGCTACAGCGGCTCTAGTTCCCGGTCCAGGTCAGCAGCCCCATCGGGCCATGGGTCCCAGCAGACCAGCTTGGGGTTCCCCAACACCCAAGTCCCTGGGAGGCGGGAGGCCGCTTGACTGGTACAGGCTAACTGGAGCTCAGGCAGGGGTTCCCGCAGGGCTCCACACCGGCAGGTCAGGAGGGGCCTGCATGGGCTGGCAGCTGCCAGGTGGAAGCCAGAGGCTGGGCCCGCCCTGCAGAGGTGCCAGCCTAAGGGGCAGGTCAGGAAAGCGCAAGGTGCTGCAGGCTTGTGTCTCTCTCACACCAACTGGCCGCTGGTTGACACGTTGCCCAGTCTTTTCTTTTTTTTTTTTAATTCTTTTGAATTGGGGTGTCACTTTGTCCCCTAGGCTGTAGTGCAGTGGCCAGATCACAGCTCACTGCCGCCTCGACCTCCTGGGACCAGGCAGGCAATCCTCCCACTTCAGCCTCCTGAGAAGCTGAGACTGTAGGCACTACCATGCCAACTAGTATTTTTTTTGAGTTTTTGCAGAGACAAGGTGTCACTCACTATACTGCCCAGGCTTATCTCAAACTCCCCGGCTCAGTTGATCTTCCCATCTCAGCATCCCAGAGTGCTTAGATTACAGGCATGACCTACCGTGCCCAGCCAGAGGAACACATGGTTGTCTCATCCGCCCCCTTCCCTGCTCCGGTGCCTGCAGCCTTGGGAAACGCCATTGTGTTTTCTCCAGGAACAGACAGCTGGGCGGTGCTGAGACCTGTCCCTAGGGACACAGATCTGTGAGCTCACGTCAGCCACACCTCCTCGGCCTCCTGTGCTGACAGGAGTGCTGCATCTCTTGTGGCGTTTAGACTTCCCTGGGGCTAAAGCTGGGGTCTTGTCGCACGTGTGTAGCCAGGGAGGCTTCCATTTGAGTCCCGTCCTTCCAGACAGATAGGCTGGCCTCCGTAGTGAAACCAGGCCTCCATCCGGCAGCGAAAACTTCCTAACTGAAACTCATGTTTGCTGGGAGCTTGATCCATAGAGGGAAATGGAGGCGGAGGTGGGAGTGTGCCATGGCGAGACATGCTTGTGCCTACAGGTCCCTGAGCGTGAGCAGCGTGTCCTCGGTGTCCAGCGCCTCGTCCAGCAGCAGCTCTGCACACAGCGTGGACTCGGAGGACATGTACGCGGACCTGGCCAGCCCTGTGTCCTCAGCCAGCTCACGGTCCCCAACCCCGGCCCAGACCAAGAAGGAAAAAGGTGCGTGGGGCCCTGGGGTCCTGTCGGCACAGACGGCGCCTGGCTGCTGCCCAGCCGCAGGGACCGTCAGCACCCCGTGACCGCGGGCGTATCTGGCAGGAAAAGCGAAGAAGGACGACGGCATGAAGGAGGAGAAGCGGAAGAGGGACTCAACCACGCAGCCGCCTCGACCTGCCAAGCCCCCAGCTGGTGGGAAGTCCTCCCAGCAGGCCCCCACGCCCCAGCAGGCGCCCCCTGGGCAGCCGCAGGGCACATTCGTCGCCCACAAGGAGATCAAGCTGACGCTACTGAACAAGGTGAGGGGCCCTGCCAGTGGTGCCCCAATAAGCAGCAGCCACCCCTAAGCCCCAGGCCCTCCTGATTCCAGGCCAGCCTGGGTATGTCAGGAGCGCACAAGAGCCGGGCAGCACGAACATCCCCTGCCTGAGGACAACGTGTCGTACCTGTGGTCCCCAGGCCTTAGCACCAGGCAGGACCTTGGACCTCGTTCCCCATACCTGGCCGCAGATGTCCTAGGTCTGCACAGGTGGCTGCCAGGGCGAGAGGCCTGGCCTGCTGTGGTCCCCATTCTCCTAGAGCGACCTCCCGGGAGCAAAATGGCCCCAAATGCCCAGAGCTGGTGCCCTCTGCCGGGTTGTGGGGTCATGCAGTGGGCTGCCATGGTGGCAGCAGGCCATTAATGTGACCTCGGATGCGAGGACAAGGGGGTCAGCTCTGCCCCACCCCGTGCTGCCATCCTGACCAGCCTCTCTCGATTGTCCCAGGCGGCTGACAAGGGAAGCAGGAAGCGCTACGAGCCGGCAGACAAGGATAGGGCGAGCCCGCCGCCAGCCAAGCGGACCAACCTGTCTCCAGACCGAGGTAAGCTCCAGGGCTGGGGACGGTGGGGCAGAGCCACCAGCTGCTCCCAGCACCCCATGTGCTTTGAACTCGGGGGACTCTAAGAGCTGTCAACATGGCATTTGAAACCAGAGCTAAGGCTGGGCTCAGGGGTTCAGCCTGTAATCCCAGCACTTTGGGAGGAGGAGGCGAGTGGATTACCTTAGTCCACGGGTTTGAGACCAGCCCGGGCAACTTGGTGAGACCTCATCTCTATAATTAAAAAAAAAATTAGCCAGACATGGTAGCGCTACGTGGTAGTAGTTCTGGATACTTAGAAGACTGAGGTGGAAGGATCATTGGAGCTCAGCAGGTCAATGCTGTGGTGACCGTGAGTGTGCCACTGTACTCCAGCCTGGGCAACGGGGTAAGACTCCAACTAAAAAAAAAAAAATCAGAACTGAAATTTTTCCCTTTATGTTAAAATAGCAGTAATACACCACTTATAACGCAAATACCACTTGTAACAAAAAATAACTTTTTTTTCTTTTATGAAGACAATGAGAAAAATAACTTTTCTAAAACAAATGAGCGAACCTGACATTGGCTCTTCTGTTTGCAAATCTCTCTATTGCTCGGCTGATGGGACAGCTGGACTCCTGTCCTGTCACCTCTGAAATCCCCCAGGCTCCTGAGGACTGGGCAGCAGGACAGTGGCATGTCACTGTCTGACCACATAGATCCAAGCTGTCCCGGACCCCAGCCCAAGAGCCCTGGTGCAGATGAAAAGATGGGGCTTTCCTGGTTGGCTTTGATGGGCAGAGCCCACCCTGGGGCCCCCTTCCTGAAACAGGCACTGGGCTGCACTCCTGGGGCTGCACTCCTGGGGCTGCCTCGCTGGTGCCAGCGGGCTCCTCTGCCCTTAGTCGCTCACCAGCCCATGCCCACGCTGGGCAGCCCCCTGGCCCCGCCAGGCTCCCCTGTGCCCAGGGAGCCACACCTCTCCCGGCTGGTGACTAGGCACTCCTGACCTGGGTGTTCCATGTTCTGCACCCACGTGGCCTGCGTGCTGTGTGTCTCCAACCGTAGACGGGCGTTCTGTCGGGCAGTAGGGGAAGGCTGGGAGCCAGACTCCGCCCAGTCAGCTGTCTCCTATCTGCCTGCCTCCCTCTCCTTCACAGAGGTGCGGGCGTGTCGAATGCCTCACACGATTTCCACCAGGCAGCCGTAAGGCCCTGCGCTGCCATCCGTGTAACCTGTGGTCTTTCTGCATCCTTGTCCCCAGGTTCTCGGGACCGGAAGTCGGGTGGAAGACTGGGTTCCCCAAAGCCAGAACGGCAGAGAGGCCAGAACTCTAAAGCCCCAGCAGCCCTATCAGACAGGTGAGTCCAGTCCGAGCCTTGGCACACCGGGGGGCTGAGCTGAGACTTGGCTCCCCTCAGGGTGGTCCAGGCTCATGGTGTCTTCCTGGCCCAGCAGCAGGCTCACTCTGTACAGGGCAGAGACACTCAGCTCTTGGGGCCTCATGGGGCTCTCCCAGGTTCTCATCATGACACCACTTCACCTCCCCATGGAGGAGGCAGGGCTAACAGGGGAAGGAAGGACAAGGGAAAGCCTGGGCACGCAGGGGTCCTGGGGTCCCCTTAGAGGTCGGAAGACGAGCAGGAGAGACCGGTGGATTCCAGCCCGGCCCTCCCATCTCTGTTCTGGGGTGGGGCAGGGGTGCAGCATGCAGAGCGCCCTTGCTGTCCTGCCGCTGCCCCACGTCCTGGGCTCATGGTCTTCCCGCCTCCTCCAGGAAGCGCCAGTTGTCTCCGCAGGCCAGGAGCTCCAGCAGGGTCACCAGCGTGCCAGGCAAGGCCGCAGAACCTGGCACCGGCGCCAAGTCGGGAAAGGCCAGCACACTGTCGCGGCGTGAAGAGCTGCTGAAGCAGCTGAAGGCCGTGGAGGATGCCATTGCGCGTAAGCGCGCCAAGATCCCCGGGAAGGCCTAGCCACAGCCTCCGGCAGGGTAAGCGCAGCCACTCGGATTTTGCAGTTCACGTCTTATTTTGGCTGTGATTCTTTTTAAAAATTAAAAAAGAAAAAAGTTTCTCAGCTGGAAGGAAGCCACGCTCGAGCAATGAGGACGCTGCCCCAGCCTCCCTCCCCGGGCAGATGTCCCGCCAGATAGACGGACAGGCGGACGGCGAATCGAGTGGTGGGGCTCGTGTAATTGACGACTGGCCTCCCTCTGCCCGCCATCTCTTCGCCCCCGGCCAGGCCCCGGAGCCCTACTGTGCCCTGTCAGCGGCGCAGCTCCGGCCTCCTTGCTGTGTGCAAGAGAAGACTTGGTGACCACCTGCCACCACCACCACCTCGCCACCCAGGATCAGAAATATATATATATTCCTGACTCAAGTCTGACCAGGAAAACTTTCCTGTCTTTTATTTTAAGCATCAAATTGTTTTAGTTGATTTAAAAAGAAAAAAATACAAAAAAGACCAAAAAAAGGCCAAGGGTGTTGTTGGGGCGTCTGTCTAATGTGGAGGGTCTTTTTTGAGGGGTCTCCTAAAATAAAATATTTTGATAAGCAGCTGTCCTTCTGCTAGTGTGTGCTGGGTGGGCCCTCTGCCCTCACAGCCCGGCTGCCTCGGTGTCTCCCATGGGCCTGGCATTTGGGAGCCTGGCTGCCTCGGTGTCCCTTGTGGGCCCTGGAATTTGGGAGCCCGACTGCCTCAGTTTCCCCCACCATGGGCCCAGTATTTGAGGACCTGGCTGATGGGGCAAGGATGCACAGCGTTCGGAGGGTGAGCTGTGCCTGGGCCCAAAGCAAGGACCCCACCCCTGCAGAACACTGCCTCAGTTTCCCCACTGTGGGGTTGAACTGACACACCCTGCTGTCTCTGAGGTCGTGTGGACTTGCTTGGGACGTGGGCTGGTGCCCACTTTCCCAGCAGGGACCCTGGGCTGGGCAGGGGCCTAGGGCCTCTGACCCAAAGTTGAGTGCAGGATAGAGCCCTGCTGGGTCTAGGACTCACAGGTGGGACCACACGGCTGGGTGGGTCACCGTGTCCCCATGGGACCCTGAAGCCATGACCTTCAGGCCTCCCAGCTCTTGAGCCAGGCCCTTCCCGCAGAGGGAGTCAGATCGGCATGTGCCCAGCCCGCCATGTCCTCCAGGCCTGACCGCAGATGCCCAAAATCCCACTCAGCAGTGCCACTGCCTCCTGACACCAGGCAGGCCAGAGGAGGCCATGACCAGGCTGATGCTCTGGCGTGACCTGTGTCCGTCGCTTCTCTAAGGCTGAGTGTCGAACACGTGGGCGAGGAGCCGGGAGTGCAGGCCCAGTGACAGCTTGCATTTTCCATCCACGCCCCACCCGCAGCACAGGCCATGCGACCGGGTTGCGCCACTGTGGCCTGGATCGTGCGTGTGAGCAATTTGTTGAGGCTTGTCTGACTGGCCACCAGGTCAAGGCCAGTGCAGAGGGACTGCCCAGTCTCTGAACGGGGTGTCCTTTGAGGACACAGAACCGGAATCCAGGATGCCAAGGGCTGCTGATGACACGGAGCTCACGCCCTAGCCCTGGTCCCTGGAGCCAGCACCACAGGGACGGCTCTGGCTAGGCCAGCAGCTGGGACCAGGCGAGACCCCACCCCTGAGTTTTAACGGTTAGCTGGCAGCCCTGACCCAGCCATCCCCTCTGGCCTTGTTCTCAGTGACGGTCTCTCAGTTTAATAGAACACCCTGGCTGGGCCCCCCAGAAGGGAAGGCCATATTGCGCACCGCGGCCTCCGTGGACAGGGACACTGCAAGTCAGCCAGCCAGTCCTCTCCCCCAGGCCTGGAAGCGGGTGCGTGGGATGACCCTGGTGCCTGAAAATGAGGCTGGTGGGATTCCGAGCCATGCACCTGCCAACCACCCCCACAGCCACGCAGTATCCATGCACTCACCACTCGAGCCCAGGCCTGAGCAGCCCACGGACAGGGCTGAGGCCAGGGCCACCGCGTGAGGGGATGACACAGGGTGGGAGTAGGCTAGAGTGGGTGCTGCCACCCCCATGTGTGGGACTCCTGCCCTCCAGGGCCACCTAGCCATGCCTGACGTGTCACGGACACGCAGCTTGAGGGGCATTGTCCAGGCACCATCTCCCTCCAGCCCGAAGGGGGCAGAGTGCTGCACCCACTTCCTTACGGGCATAGGCCCATGCCCAGCGGGTGGCGGCGGGGCTCCCGGTCCGGGCCTGTGTCTGGGGACGTCACCGTGCTTCTGCCCTCCTACCCTGGTCTTGCTGCCTCTCACCCACCTGCCAGTCCTTCCTTTCCGCATCCACCCATGGGGGCTGGGGGCATGGCTGTCTGGGGGCGGGCCGGGTGTGGTTTGGGAGCCAGCCCGTCTGGGCCACCACCTCTGGGCTGCCCTCCAGCCTTCCTCCTGCCGCCTTTCCAGTCTTGCCCAACTGGGGACTTCTGTGCTTGCCTCAGCCTCCCCCAGGAGCGCAGCACCACCCGGCCTCCCAGCCTCTGGCCCGCACCCCCTACCTGTCCCATCCCTGGAGACAGGGACAGATGTCAGGACGCTGCAGACAGCACTGGGCACCACTCAGCAGCTGTTCAAACAGACAGAAAATGCCGGAACTGGCCCCAGGGTGTGGGAGCGGGGGCATCAGAGGCCAGAGGTCTCGAGGACACAGGCCTGGCGCCTGATGTTTCCACTGCCACGCTTTCGACCCCAGTACAGACTGGGACAGGGCAGGAGCCCCTGGCAGGTCTATCCGGGCCAGGACAGCCCTGGAGGTGATGTGTGAGCTCCCTCCTGCCAGGATGAGGTGGGGTCTGACTCTAGGGTGGGTGGGAAGCTCAGGCGAGGGGTCCCAGGACCTGGGCCCCTCCGGCCGCCCCACTCATTCACTCGTCTGCACTTGCTGACATTGCCCTGACCTGGTCCTGCCTAGGGAGCTACGTGTGGACCACGTGCCTGGGGCGGGGCGCACTTGGGCCAGGGGCCTCCTTCCCTGTTTTTCTCCACACTCCCTCGGGCTCCTCCTCCTCCCCCTCTTCTCCCTCTCCCTCCTCTCTCTTTCCAGGAACGCAGGGTACAGTTGAGCGGGTAGTTTACTGCACAACAGTCCCAGCTGAGGACGGGAAGGGACATGAGCCTGTCCTTCCCACCCACGCTATGCGCTGGCATCTTTCTCCAGCTCTGCACAAAGACCCCTGTGGACCTCAATGTTCGCCGTTCTGTCCCCAAATCTGTCCCCTCTCCCCCTGGGACGCCCCGCTCGTCCTCACTGCTTCACCCCAGGACTCTCCCCTGACTCTGAAGGGGAGGCAGAAAGGCTCAAGACCACAGGGCAGAGGACTGGGCTGAATGGAGAAACGGAGCCCCCCCGCCCCCGGCCGCCCTGATCCCAGACCCTCCTGCAGGGCTGGGTGGGGACGGCAGTATGGCGTGAGTGTAGGGGGAGGTCAGGCCTCAGCAGGCCGGGTAAGGCGACCCTGGTGTTGGCGTGAAACACCCTGGCCCAGCAGCAGACCCCTGGTGCACTTTGAAAGGGGCTTCCCGGCTGGTGGCTGTCTTGGCAGAAGGGCCGGGGGTTGCATGGCACGTCTCAGCCCCCGGGAGCCCCCAAGAGGCCAAGCAGGCCCCTTCCTCCTCAGGCTGTGCTCAGAGGGCAGAGATTGAGCGGTGGGGGCGGGGAGGGTGTGTGGGTTCTGTCCCCAGGACAACTGCCGCGGGGGCCCTGGAGAAAAGACAACCAAACGCGACGCGATGGACCCGGCGCTACTCAGACCCCCACAGCAGGTGACGCTGGGCCATCCACATCGTCCTCCTCCCCGCAGTGTTTCTGAAGCACACCCACGTCCCGTGTCCCATGTCCTGCACCGCACCCCAGCCCCTGACCTCAAGGCTCCCACGCCACCCACTGTGGTGCCTGTCACAGGGAGCACCTTGCAGAGAGGGAGGGTCTTCCCCTCACCTGAGCTAGCCCTGGCGGGGGGTCCATACCATCAGAGGGTGCGGTGGGTTCAGCTGTGTCCCCCAAAAGTTCTGTCCACATCCCGACCCACCTGCGAATGTGCCCTTATTTGGAAATAGGGCCTTTGCTTCAATGTAATTGGTGGCTCGCGGCTGTCTTCCCAGCACTTTGGGAGGCTGAGGCAGGAGGATCGCTTGAGGGCAGGAGTCCCGAGACCCGCCTGGGCAGCTCAGCAAGACCCCATTTCTATTAAAAATAACAACAGGGAGGGAGGGGCCTCAAGGATCCCAGGCAAGGTCATCCTGGATTAAGGCGGCCCGTGTCCTGCAGGTCAAGTATCCAGGCTCTGAATCGCCACACGTAGATCCGTAGAGCCGCAGATCCGCGTGGCTATGGAGGCGGAGGCTGGGGCGGTGCAGCCACGGATCGCAGAGCCACCAGAAGCAGGAGCAAGGCCTGGGGCGGTCCCCTCAGTCCCCAGGAGCCTGCCCTCGTGGGCACCTTGATCCCGGCCTTCTGAGAGTCGGGTGCAGACACTTCGGCGTTGTCAAGCCCCCCCACTGCCTGAGGTGTCTTGTTAGTCCTAGGAAACTGATACAGATAGTGACCTCCTCGCCACAGGAGGTATGCCAGCAGGGAGTGGGTGGCTGGAAAGCTGGCTCCTTCTTGGCACCATCCCACCCACATGCTGACTTCAGCCCAGACTTTGGCTTCCAGGGTCCCCCGGGAAGAATCTGGGCCCCACGTGAGTCTCTGCAGGGCTGCGATGGGCACTGCAGGAGGATTCAGAGTGTCTGTCCATCCTCATGCCTCCCAGACTGCTGGCCGCGCTCGGCCTCCCTTACCCACGGAGGCCAGAGCCACGCAGCCACCCGGAGAGGTGCTGGAGGGCTGAGGCTCCGTGCCCAGCAGCTGGGGAAGGGGTGGAGGCTGGCGGCCCCTCCTCCCACCGCCCATCTGAGGGGACAGGGCAGATAGACCCTGGTCCTGGAGGGTGGTCAGTGCCCAGGACCCCAGAGGGCTCTCCCGGGGGAACCCCCAGCCCCCACGTTCAGACCATCCGGGCTCTGGTTTCCCGCCAGCTCTTTCTTGGGTAAACAAAGGCACCCCCAGCCCCCTGCAGCATTGGGGGGGCCACGGCAGGCTCCTGGGCCTCCTTACATCAACTGGTCTGGCTCCACCCTCCCACGGCATCCGCGGTTCTGGCCTCCTCTTCCTTAGACGTGTCAGCCTGAGAGTTCGGTGAAGCCACGAGGCCAACACCTGACCGGGTCACCCCACCTGAGCTGGAGGGGCTCATGACCCTCCCTGCTCTCAGCATCCGAGCTGAAAATCGGACCAATCTCCATGGCCTCCGTGGAGGGCAGAGGGACTGGCCAGGTGGAGGGCCGCGGGTTGTAGCATGAGCACCTCAGGGACCAGGTCACGGGGTCCAGGCACAAGTCCTGCAGGCAGAGCCAAAGATGTCCATCGCTGACGGCAGAGGACTCTCCGCAGAAGAATCCAGAACATCAGGCAAGGCTGGGCCCGGCTCCAGGCAAGATCTTGGGCTGGGTGGGGACCCGGAGGGAGAGTAAGAGGGAGCTCACACCTGTCTGTGCCGTGAGGTCACGGGCGGCTGGGGAGGGGGTAAGAGGGAGCCCCACGTGTCAGTCCATGAGGTCGTGGGTGGCCGGGAGCGGGTAGGCGGGGGCCCATGCGTGTCTGTGCCGCGAGGTCGTGGGCAGCCCGAGGGGTAAGAGGAGGCCCACACACGTCAGTCCAGAGGTCGCGTGCGGGCAGGGCAACAGGAGGGGGCCCACGCGTGTCTGTGCTGTGAGGTCGCGGGCGGCTGGGGCCGCAGGAGGAAGAGCCATGCTGGGCACTTCCCAGGAGGAAGCGCTGTGGATTTTCCCCGGGTGTGGCTGGGGTATAAGAGCGGCTGCCGCCAGGTCCCAGCCAGGTGCTCCTGGGGACTCTGCTGGGTGTGCAGGCCATGCCCACTCTGCCTGCCGCTGCCGCCACCATGCTGGTGAGCCCGTGGACGCGGCGGCTGCCAGGGAGGCCTCAGGCCCCGAGCCCCAGGACGAGGGTGTGGGATGGGGTCCGGGAACCCCCACATCTGGGGGAGGAGCCCTGACAGGCTGGGGGCAGCCTCTCGGAGCCTGTTTTCCCATGTGCAGGGGGAGGGCTGAGCCCCATCTCTCCCCTGGGAACGGGCAAGCCAGGTGGAAGTGAGGTGCCCCTTCCCCGGCACCCCCTGACGTGTACCTTTTCCTCCAGCTCCTCCCCAGCCTCCTGCTTCTTGCCTGGCTGTCCATCAGCCTGGCCCACCATGGGACCCCACGCTGCTACTCGGCGGAAGAGCTGCCCCTCGGCCAGCCCCCCCCACACCTGCTGGCTCGAGGCGCCAAGTGGGAGCAGGCCTTGCCTGTAGCCCTGGTGTCCAGCCTGGAGGCAGGAGACCACAGGCGGCGGCACGAGGGACCCCCGGCTGGGACCCAGTGCCCAGTGCTGCGGCCTGAGGAGGTGCTGGAGGCGGACACCCACCAGCGCTCCATCTCGCCCTGGAGATACCGGTGAGGGCCAGAGGTGGGGTCACCATCCCAACCTCCCGTCCATGCAGCCCGCTGGCCGGAAGCTGGCTCCCTCTTGGCACTGTCTCCGCCCGCATGCTGTCCCCAGATCTCAGCCTGGACCTTGGCTACCGGGTCCCCTGGGAAGAGTCTGGCTGGCTGGAGTCCCCACAGGGCTGGGGCCAGGCCTGGGGGCCTCCTGTCCCTGCTTCTTGAGCATCACCCTTTGTTGAGCACCTGCTGCATGCCGCACGCTCTGTTGCGACACTGCTCTCCTTGTCGCCAGCTGTCCTCAGCCCTCACTCAATGAGGGGGCAGCCCTGAGAGCTTGGGGGCGGGGAAAGGGCACAGCCAGGGAGGGAAGGAGGGCATGGGGAGGAGAGGGAGCGGGAGACGGAAGGAGCGGGGTGGGGACGGAGTCGGGCGGGGCTGGCCCAGACCCTGACCCGCCTCGCTCGCAGCGTGGACACGGACGAAGCGCGCTTCCCGCAGAAGCTGGCGGTGGCCGAGTGCCTGTGCCGGGGCTGCATCGACGCGCGCACGGGCCGCGAGACGCCGGCGCTGAGCTCGGTGCGGCTGCGCCAGAGCCTGCTGGTGCTGCGGCGCCAGCCCTGCTCGCGGCTCGGCACGGGCTCCCCCACACCAGGCGCCTTCGCCTTCCACGCCGAGTTCATCCGCGTGCCCGTGGGCTGCACCTGCGTGCTGCCCCGCTCGGTGCGGTGACCCCTGCTGGCTCAGAGGGCGTGGGGCCTCGCCACCCCCGTGGGACGGCCACCCGCCTCCACCTCGGCCGTTCACAGAAGGGGGGCAGCTCCCTCCTCTAGAACTTTTAAGGGGGCCAAAGGGGGTGATGGCATCCCCCA